CACACACACACACACACACACACACACACTCACAGACACACACACATACACACACACACACACACACACACACACACTCTCACACACTCACTCACACACACACACACACACACACACATCCTGATTCTGACGAAAAGCTTATCAATTACAAAAATCAAAAATAAACTGGATATTTTTGTGTTTTACCCTACGTAAAACGGCTAAAAGTGTCAAAAAAGGCTAATATGCTGTGCTTTGACTGGCTCACTGTTCTGAACTGCTGGATAATCTCTCTATGTGTAAGTATGCGTAAATATGAGCATGAGAAAGAATGTCCAGTCACATGAATAAAATCTCCTCCGTCTTACCTCTGCGTCAGGAATGAAGTCATCAATAGCAATAATGTATAAAACAGAAAATACAGGACAAACAGATTTGCCACATGAAAATAATTAACTTTAAATATAATATAATAAATGAAAAATCACAAATACAAACTCCGATTTCCAAAAAGCGATATGTTACCGTTTTAAAAGCAACAACTAGAGTTATATAGAGGCAAACTTGCCACTGTCTGACAAAATGTTTCAAAATTAATGACAGCAAATTGCAGATATGGGAAATTAGAAATGTCATGCAATGTGAGAGTGATGTAGTTATGAATATCAGCATCACGCATGGAGTCAGGCAGTTATTTTCCTCAACATGGATTAGCTCTTATTTCTCACTGTTGTTTTCAGGACTTCTACATGTTGCAATAATACTTGAATTATATACTAAATGTATCATGATCTGATGAACAATCTTTCAAACTGATTCATATTATGATCTCAAACAGTTAAATGTGGCCAGGAATGACCTCCAGAACTGAAAAAAACAATGGTGTTTTTTACTCAGAAATTGGTAATAAATTTCACAATAAATTACAAAGAAACAGCAAATTCTGAAGTAGAAAGACTGAAATTGTGTTTTCTTGGAAAATGTACTGCAATAATCAATTGCTTTTCTTGCAACTTTGAAAAAATTTTTTTTTTGCAGTGCTGACAGCTCTGTATTTGGTCAGATTTCGAAATCTCAGCCGTATGGCCTTTTCTGGCAGTGGCCTGAGCTTTGAATTCTTCTGTTTTAAGCGTAGCAGGTTGAGTTTAGCATTAGCGCTGATGTAAGTGAGCAGTGAAGCGTCACATTCACAGAGCTGGATGAAGGAGGGATTGTGTGAGTGTGCCGATGTGTGTGAAGACGGAAAAGATACTGTTCTTACTGTCTCACAATGACCAAACCTGTTCTCACAGTTCGTTCATCTACCTGTGCCTGGTTTGCTCGAAATCTATTTGTCCCATAACTGTAACAGAACATTATAGCAGTATGTTAGCATAGTACAGTAATATCTGATATTATTATTATTATGGCATTATATATACACTAAAAAGTTTGTTGAAGTTCACCTCACTAGAGATCCAAGCAGCAAAGTTTCTGCTTCATAGTCTTCATAATTTATTTGTAGTTGGTTATACTTTAGCAGGATCCTGCTTGGAGCCTTATTTTACGAAAAGTTACCAGAATTTCAATTGATCAAATGTGACCCTGGAGCACAAAACCAGTCTTTAAGTCGCTGGGGTATATTTGTAGCAATAGCCAACAATACATTGTATGGGTCAAAATTATTGATTTTTCTATTATGCCAAAAATCATTAGGATATTAAGTAAAGATCATGTTCCATGAAGATATTTTGTAAATTTCCTACCGTAAATATATCAAAACTTAAGGACTTAATTTGGACAACTTTAAAGGCAATTTTCTCAATATACTTCCCTGACACAATGTCTTTCCATTTCCTACAGGTTCTTCTCATCAGCACCACTGGGGTTACCATGGTAAATATATACATATGCTGTAACTACCCACAATGACTTTTAACTCAGAGTTTTACATACAGTTTTGTATCTAACTCACACTTATTAGTGGCTCATAGCAGACATTTCTAGCACAGTCTTACTTTCATCACCTAGTAATACTGCGATATAATACTGTGAGTGAAGGGAAACATCATTAATTTGATTTGTAGCACTTATTTCATTAGATTAGAAAGCAGAGTAAATATTTTGTACATTTAATAATAATAATGCAATCAGATTCACTGATTAAAATCCAATTCAAATCAGGTCAAGATGGAATCATACTACTAGTAAGTGACATTAACATGTGCTTAATACAAATAAATAAACAGTAGATAAAAAATCTGAATATTGAAACAGTGTGTTATAACATACTGATCTAGAAGGTGAAACATGGTACAATATAGCAGTGTACTGTAAAACTAGTGATTCAGAGACTCACTCATAAACAGTCACATTTTTTTGTTCCCGTGTGAAACTGTATCTGATGAAATGTATTGAGTAAATGATTCAGTCATGATACAGTCACTCACACAAAAAGTCACTTTTTATACTAACTGCTAAAGGACCAAAAGCTAAACATTTTAAATGTAATCAGACATTAAATGTATAAATAAAATGAAATGATTTTAATATAAATATATTAAACAAATATTCTAAAACAAATACAACAGAAAAAAATATATAAAAACCTCTTAAAAAATTTTTTCAGAAAGATTAGTTTAGTTTGCACATATTTGTACTCCGCGTGAGTTTATTGCTTTATTGCGTCTATGACGTCAGTATCAGTTCTTGTGACACACCTTTGACAGTCTGTGTTTCCATCATGAACACCCCAAAGACTCAAAGCTTTCCAATCTCTTATTGTATTGTGAGTATTTTAACCGAGGTCTTAGCAATTCATGCAATGCAACAATGTCCTGAAGCTTTATCGGTAACACTTTATAATAAAGGCAAATAAATAATCACGTATTAATACCTAAATTAAATATTGGTTAGCTAATGATGAGCTAATCAAGAACTAACCTATAATACATGAGTCATATAAATTCATGTGTGAAAAACAACAACTTTAACTACGTGTTTGTTAGTTAATGTGTTAATTACACTTTGAGGTACATTGACATTCACATGAACTAACATGCATTAGTAAATGATTATTCATGTACTGTTATTGTAAAGTGTTTCTACTTTATCTATTACTGGTGCTTTTTTATGTTTATTATAATGCATTGTTATCAGGCTCTGGAAAATGGCCTTGGATTTTTTTTAAAGGCACTATACAAATAAAATTTGTTGCGTAAAAATGTCATCAGTTACACTGTAAAAAAAATTCCGTAAAATTTACGATAAAAAAACGGCAGCTGTGGTTGCCGGAATTTTACCGTAAGTAGCAACGCTTTAGGTTTTACGGGTTTAACTTCAATTTACAGTTAAATACCGTCATTTCATTAACTGATATAATGTTAATATACCAACCTATTGAAGTACTGAAATATGTTTTGTACCTTTGTAATACACTGATAACCACCAAAAGCAGGTGGCGATGAGAAAGTCACATGATGAACCAAAGCCTATCACAAGCATCTTTTAAATAATATATAGAAGGTGCACAGTGTCATTCACACAAACACCAAACACCATCATGGTAAAACTTTTAAATAAACTGGTATTGTTAAGGCTGTTGCATGTCAATGATTTCTTTGTCTCGGTCAGATCAGGACGCGTGGTTATCTGTGTTTGAACACTGTAGTGGAAAAGCTCAGTCTCCAATCAACATAGACACTCATAAGGTTTTCTATGAGCCCAATCTGCCTCCCATTAAACTGGAGGGTTATGATCTCGCCGGCTCTCCCGCTCTTACCCTCACCAACAACGGACACACATGTGAGTCGAGGCCCTTTCACACCAAACACAAGATCATCTTACACAAGACTCGTATTGAACTGTTCACACCACAGCAGCAAATTACTCTAGTTCGACTGTTATTACATATTTGTGAAATACAAATAAAAAAAACAAGGACGGTTCCAGTTTTGTGTATTTTGATGATTAAAGAGGAGACTATTGTTAGTTGGCACAGGTCTCCTTTTTTGTTAAACCTCTCCCATGCAACAAACATTAAGATAATGAAACAGCATGTTAAGTACAATGCTTTAAGTAACACTTTAATTTAAGGACCAGTTCTCACTATTAACTAGTTGCTTATTAGCATGCATATTACTAGCAGATTGGCAGTTTATTAGTACTTATAGAGTGCATATTAATGCCTTATTCTGCATGACCATATTTTAGATCCCTTTTAGACCTTACTATTAATAAGTAGCAAATTAGGAGTTTATTGAGGCAAAAGCCATAGTTAATAGATTTTGATGATTAAAGAGGAGACTATTGTTAGTTGGCACAGGTCTCCTTTTTTGTTAAACCTCTCCCATGCAACAAACATTAAGATAATGAAACAGCATGTTAAGTACAATGCTTTAAGTAACACTTTAATTTAAGGACCAGTTCTCACTATTAACTAGTTGCTTATTAGCATGCATATTACTAGCAGATTGGCAGTTTATAGTACTTATGAAGCACATTAATGTCATATTTTAGATCCCATAATCCGACCCATACCTAAACTTAACAACTACCTTACTAACTATTAATAAGCAGCAAATTAGTTTTTTGAGGCAAAGGTCATAGTTAATAGTTAATAGTGAGAGTAGGTCCCCAAACGAAAGTATGACCTTCTTTCATGCTGTTGCTTTTCAACAAACAAGACGGTAAAATTGACTAATTAAAATTTTAGACAGAATATTGCCAGCTACTTTGTGTATTTTTGCTTCACCAAAAATAATTGTTAAAAATGAAGTCAAAACAGAATCAATCATTGTATCTTTGAGCAATAGCGGTGTTTTATTTCTTAATGATTGTGGTTTTTGAAAGAATCAGTTGAGTGAGTGATTCAATGACTTAATCATGTTTCATTCTTGTAGGAATGAGTGTATTTCATCAAATTTATTGAGTAAATGATTGTCAAAAAAAAAATAAAAATAAAATCATGCATGCAGAAAGCCAGTTTTATACTTTAACTGATAAAATGACCAAAAATTTACTGTTTTAAAGAGTGGCTTTAAAAAATGCTTAAAATACAAATACAGTTTATTGATTTTATTGACCATTTGTTTTTGTTGCTGACTTAAATTACATAATTACATGACCTTACTTTAATTTCAGAAATGAAAGTTATCTGAAAGCATGTTGTTTCTGTTCTTGCGTCAGTGCAGCTGAGTCTGCAGAGCAGCATGCGTATCATGAGGGGATTCGATCATGTTTACGTCGCAGCCCAGCTTCACTTCCACTGGGGAACTACAGAGGTCCCTGGCTCAGAGCACACCATAGATCATGTCCATTTCCCTGCTGAGGTGAGCTGAGATGAAGAAACACACGGTTTAATGGTCTCTCTATACAGCCACCCATTCAGAGATCATGTTGTTGGGCCCAGCCTTTCTGGAACATGAGTGATTATAAAAACTGCATAATGTGTGACATATTGCATAAACACTTGCTACCGCAGTTTCCTCATTCCTCAGATCCACGTGGTTCATTATAACTCCAGATACGCAAATCTCGCTGAGGCTGCTACTAAAGCGGATGGGTTGGCAGTGTTAGGAGGATTCATAGGTGTAAGTCTTTCAACTACAACCTTCTGGCTGCAGTAAAGTTTTCCAAGTAAAAGAATATGGTTTGTATGGAAGTCCGTTTCCGCCACTGAGTAATAATTTAAAAAAAAAGGTAATTGCGACTTTTTATCTCGCAGTTCTGACTTTTTTTCTCAGAACTGCGTGATGTAAACTCACAATTGCGAGACATAAAGTCGCCATTCAGAGATTCAGAGAAATGAAGTCAGAACTGCGAGATATAAACTCACAGTTCTGACTTTTTCCCTCAGAATTGCCAGTTTATATCTTGCTATTCTGACATTATAACACGTAATTGCGAGTTTAGCCTATATCATGCAATTCCGAGAAAAAAAAGTCAGAACTGTGAGTTATAAAGTCAGAATAGTGAGATATAAAGTCAGAATAGTGAGATATAAAGTCAGAATAGTGAGTTATAAAGTCAGAATAGTGAGATATAAAGTCAGAATTGTGAGATATAAAGTCAGAATAGTGAGTTATAAAGTCAGAAAACTCACAGTTCTGACTTTTTCCCTCAGAATTGCCAGTTTATATCTTGCTATTCTGACATTATAACATGTAATTGCGAGTTTAGCCTATATCACGCAATTCTGAGAAAAAAAAGTCAGAACTGTGAGTTATAAAGTCAGAATATTGAGATATAAAGTCAGAATAGTGAGATATAAAGTCAGAATTGTGAGTTATAAAGTCAGAATAGTGAGATATAAAGTCAGAATAGTGAGTTATAAAGTCAGAATAGTGAGATATAAAGTCAGAATAGTGAGTTATAAAGTCAGAATAGTGAGATATAAAGTCAGAATAGTGAGTTATAAAGTCAGAATAGTGAGATATAAAGTCAGAATAGTGAGTTATAAAGTCAGAATAGTGAGATATAAAGTCAGAATAGTGAGTTATAAAGTCAGAATAGTGAGATATAAAGTCAGAATAGTGAGTTATAAAGTCAGAATAGTGAGATATAAAGTCAGAATAGTGAGTTATAAAGTCAGAATAGTGAGATATAAAGTCAGAATAGTGAGTTATAAAGTCAGAATAGTGAGATATAAAGTCAGAATAGTGAGTTATAAAGTCAGAATAGTGAGATATAAAGTCAGAATAGTGAGTTATAAAGTCAGAATAGTGAGATATAAAGTCAGAATAGTGAGTTATAAAGTCAGAATAGTGAGATATAAAGTCAGAATAGTGAGATATAAACTCGCACTTCTGAGAACATATCAGTCACCCCCCCCCTCCAAAATTGGACTTTAACTCGTTTTTATCTCACAATCCCTGTGAAAAAAGTCAGAATTGCGAGATAAAAAGTCGCAATAACCTTTTTTTTTTTTTTTTCAGTGGCGGAAACAGGCTTCCATAGGGTTTGATCACTCCCAATAAAGTCTTTGCAATACATTTGTTAGTATTTCCTTTTGACTTTTTCCTCAACAGATTGGCCTTCATGACAATGACAACTATGAGAAGATCCTGTCTGCGTTAACAGACATCAGCATTGAGGGTAAGAATCTAATAACTGTCAACAAAGAAAACGTCAAGCATAAAGCACTGATGATTATCATCCAACCTGAGCTGATGGTCTTCTTTTCAGAGTCAGACACTGAGATTCCTGGTTTTAATGTGCGCCATCTACTGCCAGACAGCTTGGACAGGTTTTATAGGTACAGCGGGTCCCTCACGACCCCTCCGTGCTTTCAGACGGTCAGCTGGACTTTGTTCAACGACTCAATCAGAGTCTCAAGAAGACAGGTCAGACTATTCTCACAAGAGAGCATCACGTCATTTATAGCACTCGCGGATCTAAATCAGTCTGGTTTTTCTTTTGTTAGCTAGCAGCCTTGGAGGACACATTGAAAACTGAACACAACAAGCTTTTGTCCAAAAACTTCAGAGCTCCACAACTTCTGCATGGGAGAAACGTGCTGGCATCTTTCCACACAGGATTCACTGCAAGAAGTATGTACAGTCTGTATTAGGCCTTTTAGCTCTTTAGTGTTTGAAATAATTACGATTTCAAACACATCATGGGGCCACTGTAAACTGCAGCACAATCAGGTTTATACCTGCTGCAGTTTACAGTGGCCCCATTATGTGTTTGAAATCGTAATTATGAAAATGTCTGAATATCTTTTTACTAGAAACACAAAAAGGTTACATTATCAAATTAGGCATATGTAATCATTGTGCATACAGTACACATTGATCTACAAAAATGTTAGCGGATGTGTACACTGTACATGGGAGATTGTTTTTATTTTTTGTTTCTAAACTCTGATTCTAAGTTCATTTTGTACATAATTGACATACAGTCTATAATTATGTATTGAGGGGCCCATTTTTTTTGGTTTGTATAACTCAGGGTTGGGGGAAAAAATGTTGTTTCTATTTTCCTGTATCTTTATCCTTTTATTATTATAAAGGTTCAATAATGTAACCTTTATTTAACCAGGCAAGTCAATTAAGAACAGGTTCTTATTTTCAATAACAGCCAGGCAGGAGAATTAATATCCCCTGAGAAACATACAAACATATTACAATACATAAACAGATTAAGCAAGGCGGATTGGGTTTTTAAGTTTGGCATACGAGTTGTGTAATTATTTTGAAATTGCATGCAAGTACTTTTAAAATCGTCTGTACAATGCAACGTCTATATACAATAAGTATGTAAGCAGTTAAAGACATTTGATATAAAGTGGTTCCATACCTACCGTTTTATTTTTTGAACCCAACAAACATCTAAATGTCACTTGGTTTAATATTTTGTATTTATAACAATGCCAATTACTTCAAGTTAATATTCAGTTTAACTGCACTGACACACTCGGATTTAAACTGAATAGAACCAGATAAAGACACTTTGAAACACTGACACTGAATTAACTTGAGCAGAATAAGGACACCATTGTCTTCTGTAGAGCATAAAGTTAATTTGTTGTTACGTGTTTATTTCCTGTTGAAACAATCTGTATTGTACAATCAATATGTATTACTGTATGTATATTTTGTGTTGTGTTTTACAGTAGCCAGTGAAGCTCCACCATCTGAAACACAAGACAGCAATATAATGGAATCTAACGGTAAGAATGTATAATTTACTGTATATCTACAGCAGGATACTTCCTCTTGTGTTAAAGCTGCAGTCCGTAACTTTTTTGTGTTCAAAATGTACAAAATTTATATAATAAGCGAGTACACCATGAATCCATTTTCCAAACTGTGTTTTTGGCTTGTCCTGAATCACTACGGTACACCTATAAGTGTTTATATTCGGACTATTTAGACTGGTTCGGGTAGGTACCGCTGCGGAGGAGCCCAGTACCTGCGTGATTCGCCATAGACATAAACAGAGTGAAGTAGCGCCGGCTACAATGTTCTTCCGCCAGACGCACGCAGTTCTGTTTATTAACCGCTAGAGCGCCAAAAGTTACGGACTGCAGCTTTAATTTTGTCTGTTTCATAGTGCTGCTAACGTGGTTTTATTTTCCATTTTCCTTCCTTACTGAAGCTCTCTGTGTGTGACAGTAATATGAACACAATATAAACACGTTTAAAGGTTGTTGTTTCCCCACAGGACACATTCTGGCGATTATCTTTGGGGTTCTGTTTGCCGTCACGTTGCTGGTCTTCTCCGTCTACACATATGGACAGAGGAAAAAGTACTCAAAGTACGTTCATATCCATCTCTGATTCATCACCACTTCATTTGACTTAATTAGTATTTGTTTGTACACTTTTAATTCTCTCTGCTTTCAGAAAGCAGACACGCAGCACAAAAGGCTAAACATGTTTCACTTCTGTCTCTTTTTCTCTACAGGTTTAAAAAAGACTCCAAGCAAAATGTTATTTATAAACCAGCTGCCGTTGAACAAGACATAGATCAAACCTCTGTTACTGTATCATAAACCACATATTTATTCAGAAACTTGTTTTGTCTTGTTTGTCTTCAGTGTGAGAATTTGGAATAAATTGTTTGCAAATTAGTAGAAATTGCTGCATACACTTTTGGTCCACTTTTTTTTTTTTGCCCTGGTGTGTATGTGTCTGGAGTTTTAAGTACATACATTTTTTTTTTTCATTTTGCTGTTTTTTTTCCATTGTATTGAGGAAATTAATCATAACATATTATTCATCCACCTACAAGATGTATAATGGTTACAGTATCTGAGCAGAACCTAGTTTACATGTAGATAGACTGTCAAACCACAGCCATTCATTTATATATTACACGATTACGTTTTACCATTTAGAGATCATGTTACTGGCCCAGTCTTTCTGGGACATGAGTGAACTGCATAATGTGTGACATATTGCATAAACACATGCTACAACAATTTCCTCATTCCTCAGATCCACGTGGTTCATTATAACTCCAAATATGCAGATCTCATTGAGGCTGGTAGTAAAGCTGATGGATTGGCAGTGTTAGGAGGATTCATAGGTGTAAGTAGTTTAACTAAAACCTTCTGGCTGCAGTAAAAGAATGCGGTTTGGTCAGTCCCAATAAAGTCCTTGCAATACATTTCAACAGATCGGCCTCCATGACAATGACAACTATGAGAAGATCCTGTCTGCGTTAACAGACATCAGCATTGAGGGTAAGAATCTAATAACTGTCAACAAAGAAAACGTCAAGCATAAAGCACTGATGATTATCATCCAACCTGAGCTGATGGTCTTCTTTTCAGAGTCAGACACTGAGATTCCTGGTTTTAATGTGCGCCATCTACTGCCAGACAGCTTGGACAGGTTTTATAGGTACAGCGGGTCCCTCACGACCCCTCCGTGCTTTCAGACGGTCAGCTGGACTTTGTTCAACGACTCAATCAGAGTCTCAAGAAGACAGGTCAGACTATTCTCACAAGAGAGCATCACGTCATTTATAGCACTCGCGGATCTAAATCAGTCTGGTTTTTCTTTTGTTAGCTAGCAGCCTTGGAGGACACATTGAAAACTGAACACAACAAGCTTTTGTCCAAAAACTTCAGAGCTCCACAACTTCTGCATGGGAGAAACGTGCTGGCATCTTTCCACACAGGATTCACTGCAAGAAGTATGTACAGTCTGTATTAGGCCTTTTAGCTCTTTAGTGTTTGAAATAATTACGATTTCAAACACATCATGGGGCCACTGTAAACTGCAGCACAATCAGGTTTATACCTGCTGCAGTTTACAGTGGCCCCATTATGTGTTTGAAATCGTAATTATGAAAATGTCTGAATATCTTTTTACTAGAAACACAAAAAGGTTACATTATCAAATTAGGCATATGTAATCATTGTGCATACAGTACACATTGATCTACAAAAATGTTAGCGGATGTGTACACTGTACATGGGAGATTGTTTTTATTTTTTGTTTCTAAACTCTGATTCTAAGTTCATTTTGTACATAATTGACATACAGTCTATAATTATGTATTGAGGGGCCCATTTTTTTTGGTTTGTATAACTCAGGGTTGGGGAAAAAAATGTTGTTTCTATTTTCCTGTATCTTTATCCTTTTATTATTATAAAGGTTCAATAATGTAACCTTTATTTAACCAGGCAAGTCAATTAAGAACAGGTTCTTATTTTCAATAACAGCCAGGCAGGAGAATTAATATCCCCTGAGAAACATACAAACATATTACAATACATAAACAGATTAAGCAAGGCGGATTGGGTTTTTAAGTTTGGCATACGAGTTGTGTAATTATTTTGAAATTGCATGCAAGTACTTTAAAAATCGTCTGTACAATGCAACGTGTATATACAATAAGTATGTAAGCAGTTAAAGACATTTGATATAAAGTGGTTCCATAACTACCGTTTTATTTTTTGAACCCAACAAACATCTAAATGTCACTTGGTTTAATATTTTGTATTTATAACAATGCCAATTACTTCAAGTTAATATTCAGTTTAACTGCACTGACACACTCGGATTTAAACTGAATAGAACCAGATAAAGACACTTTGAAACACTGACACTGAATTAACTTGAGCAGAATAAGGACACCATTGTCTTCTGTAGAGCAGAAAGTTAATTTGTTGTTACGTGTTTATTTCCTGTTGAAACAATCTGTATTGTACAATCAATATGTATTACTGTATGTATATTTTGTGTTGTGTTTTACAGTAGCCAGTGAAGCTCCACCATCTGAAACACAAGACAGCAATATAATGGAATCTAACGGTAAGAATGTATAATTTACTGTATATCTACAGCAGGATACTTCCTCTTGTGTTAAAGCTGCAGTCCGTAACTTTTTTGTGTTCAAAATGTACAAAATTTATATAATAAGCGAGTACACCATGAATCCATTTTCCAAACTGTGTTTTTGGCTTGTCCTGAATCACTACGGTACACCTATAAGTGTTTATATTCGGACTATTTAGACTGGTTCGGGTAGGTACCGCTGCGGAGGAGCCCAGTACCTGCGTGATTCGCCATAGACATAAACAGAGTGAAGTAGCGCCGGCTACAATGTTCTTCCGCCAGACGCACGCAGTTCTGTTTATTAACCGCTAGAGCGCCAAAAGTTACGGACTGCAGCTTTAATTTTGTCTGTTTCATAGTGCTGCTAACGTGGTTTTATTTTCCATTTTCCTTCCTTACTGAAGCTCTCTGTGTGTGACAGTAATATGAACACAATATAAACACGTTTAAAGGTTGTTGTTTCCCCACAGGACACATTCTGGCGATTATCTTTGGGGTTCTGTTTGCCGTCACGTTGCTGGTCTTCTCCGTCTACACATATGGACAGAGGAAAAAGTACTCAAAGTACGTTCATATCCATCTCTGATTCATCACCACTTCATTTGACTTAATTAGTATTTGTTTGTACACTTTTAATTCTCTCTGCTTTCAGAAAGCAGACACGCAGCACAAAAGGCTAAACATGTTTCACTTCTGTCTCTTTTTCTCTACAGGTTTAAAAAAGACTCCAAGCAAAATGTTATTTATAAACCAGCTGCCGTTGAACAAGACATAGATCAAACCTCTGTTACTGTATCATAAACCACATATTTATTCAGAAACTTGTTTTGTCTTGTTTGTCTTCAGTGTGAGAATTTGGAATAAATTGTTTGCAAATTAGTAGAAATTGCTGCATACACTTTTGGTCCACTTTTTTTTTTTTGCCCTGGTGTGTATGTGTCTGGAGTTTTAAGTACATACATTTTTTTTTTTCATTTTGCTGTTTTTTTTCCATTGTATTGAGGAAATTAATCATAACATATTATTCATCCACCTACAAGATGTATAATGGTTACAGTATCTGAGCAGAACCTAGTTTACATGTAGATAGACTGTCAAACCACAGCCATTCATTTATATATTACACAGATCGTGACCACTGCCTCTCTCTCTCCAGTCATCTGACACGAGACTTCAGAAACTATATTTTAGTCTTGACATACAACTTCAAAATTGTAAGTGTATAATGAGTTTGTGAAGCCGTGTTGTTTTCAGTCCATGTCTCTCAGAACAGACCGTTCTTTACTGCATGTATGTATCAAACATGGCCCAGAAGACTAAACATTCACTCGAGGATTCCTGTCAGCACCAGCAATGTTTAAGACCATTAAACTTTGAATCTGGAAAATCCATGAGTTAACTTGTGTTATATATAAGTCATGACAGGTCATGTAGAGGTGTGTATTTCAACACAATTCTTTTGAAGACTGACTGTGAAGCATGCAATCCAATGCATTCGGCAGGTCAGGGGGTCAGTTCTCACATTTCAGTAAGATATTTACTAAAGGGCAGAGGTCACATGACTGAGAGCCTAAAAGCCACAAATACCGGTAACACTTTGTACATTAACGTGAGTTAATGCAATAGCTAACTGCTAAAACAGTGATTTTACAGCATTTATTTGGTTAATGTCAATTACCAAAAAATGTTTACAAATTAAAATTAAAGGGATAGTTCTCCTACAAATGATAATTCTGTCATCATTTACTCATCCTCATATTGTTCTAAACCTGTACGAGTTTCTGGAAACACTTTAGCATAGGGACCGATTCTCACTATTAACGAGTTGCTTATTAGCATGCCTATTATTAACATATTGGCTGTTTATTAGTGCTTATAAAGCACATATTCTGCATCTCTAATCCTATACAATACTTAAACTTAACAACTACCTTACTAACTATTAATAAGCAGCAGTTAATTAAGGTAAAAGCCATAGTTAATGGTGAGAATTGAACCTTAAAGTGTGACTGGGTTTCTTTCTATTTTGGATAGTAGATATTTTGGAGAATGTTGGTAACCAAAGAGTTTTTTTTCCATACTATGGAAGTCAATGGGAACCAGCAACTTACCCACATTCTTCAAACTATTGTTTTTTACATTCAACATAAACTCAAACAGGTTTGGAACAACTTGATGGTGAGCAAATGATAACATAATTGTCATTTTTGGGTGAACTATCCCTTTAATCTGCTGTGCACATGATGATACCCAAGGCATTTACTAATGTTAATAAATTGGACGTTCTTGTGCAATGCACCACAAAAATCCTCCTAACCATATGAAAACATTAACTTATGGATTCAAATCTAGATTTATGATCCACATAAATGTGTACCATATCTTCTAAATATTTTGCTTCCCCCAAATAACTCCATGAAATGATTAACAGGGTGTTTTTAATCTTTTTGTCAAATCAATTTTGCATATGAACAGCAATCTGATTCCCTGTTTGGCACGTCGTATTCATAGAAACTTTATAAAGCAGCATTAAAATGTTAGATAATTACAAGAAGTCCTTTTGTAATTTAAATTCAGGAAAGCACCGAGTTATTGTGTCCAATATACAGAACATGACGAGAGCTCCATCTGCACAGCTTTAACACTGGATGACAAATGTAGACCAGAAAAAAACTCGCATACAGACACAGAGGAGGAGTACAGAACGCAATACATTAACACAGAAGCACACCGAACGCTAGTGGTTACTGAGGAGCTGCCAACATCCAGAGAAACAAACCTGAACGCTGCATCAACACAGAACCGCTGCAACACTCGTAAAAATAAAGGTGCTTCACGATGCTTTTTTGTCTAAATGGTTCCATAAAGAACCTTTAACTAACATCTGAAGAAGCTTTCTGTTTCGTTGTGGCGAAAGAAGGTTCTTCAGATTATAAAAAGGTAAGAAAGAGACGGTTCTTGACTATAAGTAATATTGCACCTACATATCTACTAACTCTCATTAGAGTAGAAAATATATGT